AGAAAGATTGTTGATTAGCTGGTGTGTTTCGTGCAGTCTGGAGTTTGAAGAGAACAAAAGAATCGTCCACATAACGCACACAATGCTTGAGTTTCATGATCGGCAGTGCTTTTTGTTCCAGTGCTTGCATCACTGCCTCGGCAACCAGTCCAGAGATTGGTGATCCCATTAACGTGTCTATTATCTGTTTCTAAGATGGGCCTTTGAAAGTGAAATGTGTGGTGAGACAGAAATCAAGCAACTCCATCATTTGTGTGATTGCAATTTCGCTGATTGCATTTACACCGCTCCACGTTGATTCCAGCAGGCTCATCATTGGTTCCCTTGCCCATTTGGTGTCAATCGATGTGAACATCAAAGCAGACCATTATTTGGTCTCATTAGTTGTCGACCGTTCACCGGTCGGCACAACATTTTATCCAAAACACGCATCCCACGATTCATTGCTAAAAACAGACTTACCTGTATGTACACCAATGCACAAGGTCTACTGAACAAGTTTGCCGAACTGCGGCTACGTCAAGCGTCATATGCCTGGGACCTCATATTCGTTACGGAAACCTGGTTGCACTCATAAATTACCGATTCGGAGGTCGCGATAAATGGGATGTCACTTCTCTGAAACGATCGACCTAGCAGAGGCTTGGAAGGGTAATGTTATACTAACGCAACGACCTGCAGTGCGAACCGGTGGCCGATTGGGAAACGCTGATCATAGACTCAATTTGGTGCAGTCTGCGACTGAGACGCAACGACACTTGCCATTTAGGCGTGGTTTACCGTCTCCCAACGTCCACCTCAGAGATGGACTCCAACCTAGGATTATCATTGGGAAGGGTCCTACGATGACAATATCCTCTCAGGCGACTACAATATTCATGATTTGAAAGTTCCGGCATCCCCCAACGATCGGTGTAAGGCCGACCTGCAAGAGTATATTGCAAGCATTCCGCTTTTAATCCATGTCTATTCACCCACCCGATTCAGATTCGGAAATAAACCATCTGCGCTTGATTTATTGCTCACGAACAAAGAGCTCATTATTGAGAAACCAAAGGCGGAAAGCCCGCTGGGGCGGGGCGATCACGTAACCATAATGTACGATTTCGCGTTACGCGGAGTATATACATGAACATACTAACTTGTTTCGAACAATCACCCTCTATGTCATATTGGCAGAACATGTACGAGACGCCAGCTGGAAGTTTCCGGACGACTGTTAAGTGGGCAGTGCTTTGTTGGATTTAACTGGCAAGTTCAATGAGCTGATTAATCTGCATCGGTCAACAAGCCTCTTCGTATTGCAACGGCACAATCATTCATTCGAAGTATAACCCGAAAATACATGGCGGTAAGAGACGCCGCATGGCCTGTGTATAGAGGGACGAACCCTAGCCCTGACAACTGGAGTAACTATCTTGTGCATCCTAATCACTGTACCACACTTCTGCGCGAGGACAAATGAGTAGACCAGTAGAGTCCAGGGAAAAAGTTTTGTATTAACAAAAAGCTTCTGTAACAGACATGTGAACAGCCTCCGAAATGTGAAACATGGTGTTCTCCCACTAATATCAGCGGATGGTTGTGCTCAAACCGCCGAGGATGCAGCCAAAGTTCTACAGCTACAATATGCTCCGATTTTCCGACGTGCTCCAAGCATTTGTAACATACCTACCCCATTTTCCAAGATGCCAGTCTTTAAACACGTCACGTTTAGTTCAGCGACCATTTTGAGGAAGCTGCTATCGTTGCGCACCCATAGTTCCTCGGAGTTGACAATATTCCCCCGAAAGCGCTGCAGGAGGAAGCTACGAGGATAGCTGAACCATTAACGAGATTTTTCCAAAGATGTCTGGACGAACAGCAGGTTAATAGCATGTGGAAGCAAGGCATCATTACCCCGATTTTCAACGTGGTAGCCGTTCAGAGCCAGCCAACTATCGCCCAGTGATTCTGCTCCCGGCGCTCTCAAAGGTGATGGAACCGATCATAGCTGGGGCTGTAATGGGCTACTTCGAAAGGTTTAACATCATAGCACCGGAGCAACACGGATTCCGTCAGCCTCGGTAATATACCATTAACCTACTGCTTGCTCGTGGCGGTTGGACCGAGATAGGCGCCAGTGGGATCAGCATTGATGTCATCTACCTAGAACTTTCCAAAACATTCGACCGCACAGATCCCCGCATCCTTCTCCAAAAGGTGCAAGCATACTGAGTTGGAAAATCTGTCCTTGGGTGGATCGGAAACTTCCTCTTTAAGCGGCGCCTTCAGGTTCGAGTTCGAGGTTCATTTTCTTATGCAATTGATGCAGACTGCGGTGTTCCACAAGGGTCGGTGTTGGGGCCGCGGTTATTCTTGTTCTTTATTAACGACCTTGTGAGTGTCATCAAGTCAAATTTCCTGCTTTTTGCAGATGACGTCAAGATATGGCGGGCAATCGGCTGTCAAGATCACGATATGTTGCAACAAGACTTAGACTGCGCTTTTGAATGGTCAAAGGTAAATCTACTTCCGTTTAACACGGACAAGTGCAAAACCGTGCATGTCCGCCACAAGCCCACGTACGCACATAAGCTTGGAGACGACATTCTGAAAACCGCCTCACAAGAGCGAGACCTTGGGGTGGTGATCCAAGACGACCTCGGCTGTTCGGCGCAGTCCTTGAAGGCGTCAAAAAGCGCGAACCAACATGTTGGTCTGTTACATAGGGCGTTCGGAAGGTTCGATCCTTTTATCTTCTCCCAAAATGTTCAATGCGCATGTGAGGCGCCATGTAAAGTACGCGATCCAGGCTTGATAACCCTGGTTGCACTGGAGACCGCAAAGCGACGGGCAACGGAAAATGTGAAGGGGTTGTCCCACCCGCAATACCATAGGCGACTAAAAGCCTTGGGAGTCTACAGCTAAAGATATCGCCATCTACGGGGTGACCTCATCCCGGCGTTCCAGATTTTGAAAAACACCGGTCACGCTTGCAGCCACCTCCTGAAGCTTGGATGCAACACAAAATCATAAGGTCATAAATTGAAACTTTCCACCTGATACAGTCGGCTTGAGTGCCGCCGGAATTATTTTTCCCTTCGAGTTTGTCAACCGTAGAACGCTCTTCCGACTTTTGTCATTTCAGCGCACATGCTACCCATTTTTAAAAAGCGACTCGACGATGCTCTACACCATTTACATACCTTTTGCTGATTTCTATTCATTGAGTGACGATATGGCGCAGACAAACATTGTGTTCACCAACACAACGAAATCGGGGTAGACGGATATACCTATGTATCAACGTGGATAATATGGTGAGTCCACATATGCGGATTTTCTTTTGTGTAACTTCATTGGAATAACATTATTCCCACAAACTATCCCACGGGACTTGTCAAGCCTTGACGTTTTTTAGCCATATTATACCATTGTCCTATTGTTCTCCTAAGTGTTCCAAGAAACTGTTCCGCCGATTAAATTGCATTTTCTGAGCTTGCGGTTAGATATTTCAGCCGGTTCCAATAATTTTTTAGAAACCTTGTAATTCGATGCTGTGTTCAAAATTCGTGATCTGTTGTTGAAGAGTGTGTTTGTCCTTGCTTGCTAGACGTATTGTAGGGTCTTCCGCTTGTCGGCTGGTAGGTGTGCACATCTTCGAGAGGTTCTTGTGCTCTCTCCATGTAGTCAGTTTTGTCCATTATGGCAGTAAGGCATCCCTTGTCGGCTGATAAGGTAACAATGGTTTTGTCTTTTTGAAGATTTGTCAGTTCCTTTTGTTCGCTTACGCTGTGTTCCATTTTGTGACTTAGTGCGGGAATGATGCTGTGTCGAATTGCATGTTGGGTTACAGCTGCGGTGTTAGATGTGATCAACGTTGATTTAAGTGCGGCAAGGAAAACAATGGGACTGGAATCTTTGTAACTGACATGCAGAACTCATACGATGTCTGCTATTTTTGTATGTGATAGAGTTGGTTGGGACAGATTCTTGATCCAAGCATCATCTACATTCGCTGGTTTGTTTTGCGAGATTCTGTCAAACTTTCTTTCTAGCTTCTGCTTGTCTTATGGGTCCTAATAGCTATCGCATTCCGATCAGCAGTTCTCCGAGGTTGAATAAGAATATCCCCTTTTGTTGGTCGAGTACTCGTTGATACTTTGGTCAATGGTTGTGGGCATCTGTGATCCGTAGTTGTAACATTCGTCGTCCAGGTGTTCGGCGATCTTCCAGGCCAAATGATTGTTGATTGTAGCAGAGGGTGGTAATGTGTGCTTGTCTTCGCCAACATTCATGCAGGGACTAAAGTTGCTCGTGAGTGGAGGATTATCGACTAGCAAAGGTCTCAGTTATTTCCGAATCACCTCCGTTATTTATTACCATGGGTTCCGACCAACTCGTCCAAACAACCAAGTCAAAATAGCCGATCCAACCCTTGGTCCACATTCTCATGTCTTAAACCATGGAAGATGATCACTGCGGCTTGGTAACACCTTTCAAGATAGAGCCATACAAATTTAAACCGGGCGGCGAATGGAACAGCATTTGCATTTCGCAGTCACCATTCATAACTTACGCTTTGTAAAAATGGTCGTAAATGACTCAGTTATACACAGATGTTTATTCTATCAACATCGAGTAGAGCGTCTAGGCTCAGTCGTCTTCGTAACCCAGCCTACAAGTTCAGAAATGTGATGAAAATACGGTGATCCATGTTACTTCAAAGTGACCAGTGCAAATAAGTGCACAGAAAATTAGCATATTAATTGGTTTTCCATTCTGAAAAATAGCAGAGAGGTGAACAATATCTATGTCAGTGGCGATCAGACATTACGGACCGCATTGGAACAATCTGCGAAGAATTGCTTATTAAAGGTAGCAGACGGCACTTAGCAAAATAAAGCACACCAAAGTGTCGGACATTTCACCAGTTTATCAACATATGCAATTAGTTGCGGCGGTAGAACGAAAGAAAAAATGTTGCAATCCGACGACGCATTCAGAATTTCACTCACTCAAATGAACAAAATGTTCGTGAGCCAGGAGACGGCTCATTAGGAAAAAGGTTTTCTCACAATATTTGCATACATGAGGTCGATTCTCTGGAATGGAAAACAGGCACCTATTAGCTGTAGATAACCCAGAAGTAAAAACAACGGTAAATAGAAACGTAGTGGATTGCCGTCAATACACTCAGAAATACGCCTTAATAATGGCTCAACAATAAGGAAAAAGATGCGAAAGATCGCACCCCATACTAGCAGAACAAAGGTCCCATTTGAAAAATACAATGGCTGTGTAACACTTAACACATGTGGGAAAATAGTTACACCGTACATTTGGACATGCGTTGCGACACGCGCATCCATGCACCCAAAAGATTGCCCATTTAACGTCCGAATCGCCAATTCGCATAGCTCCCCATTTCAGCCCGTGCAGTCAAGCATGTTTCAAGAGGTAATAGCTGAGCTACCCTATGACCGCTTAGTGACGAGTGCGCACAGATTGTAATCTGATCAAATGAACCAAATTAGTCCAAGCAGATTAAAAAACCCAAGTGAAGCGAAGCTACAAACCTCTTGGGGTACTTAATGACCACTTGCATGACGGCAAAAGATATTGCGGAAAACAGTGTTGTGTAAGGCCAGTTTTCTAATGAGCAGAGGTCAGCTGCGAAGACTCGAAGATTGATCAGTGCTGTGCCCAGTCTCTGAGTATCGGACTTCTTGCTCTGACCAAAACTTTTACACCAGATCTAGCCAATGACCGTATCAGGTGCTGGCAGACGATAAGGCATAAAGATCGGCCAGAGGAAAGGTCAGTGAAAATGTAGCAACTCGCTGTCACTTGCGTGTTGGTACGTAGTGCAACAGTTGCCCGCGACCACCTGAAACAGGACCGGTGGTAAACTAAGGACCCAAACAGAAATCATTGGTAAGGAGCCACCTTTGACGCATGTAGAGATTTGAATGTCTCGCAACATCTAGTCCACGAGGCCAATCTTCGGACGTGTTAAACACTACCCAACACAAAGTAGACACACGGCAAGCAACTACCATCCGAAGTGCTTAAAACATTAACATAGATGAGTGGCTGCATCAACGTTGGTGCGAGGCATCACACTGGATTTGCAAAGACTGCAAGATGCCTTGTTAACACGTAGGAAGTACATAGCGTTGCAATGTGATCAAATTCACCGTATGGATCAGAGACACGGCCTCCGTGCCCGTGTAGCGCTGCTTAGTCCTGCAGGGTGTATCAAATGCGGTCGGACGTCTGGTGTTTCCTCACAGGACAACCGATGTCGAACTGGATTGCCAGATGAAATGGAACCTCCTACGCTGTGTACATCAATTTGTTCTTTGGGCTGAAAAACAGCTGCGTTGGCATACAGTGTTTGCCAATACTCACCCTGGTGACCAACCAGTGACGACTACAAGATAGATGTTCCACTTACATCGGGATATTGTTCATATGTGTGGACTAATATGCGGAAGTATGATTAAACAGAAGCGCTCCACATAGCACTCAATAGGATACTCGACAACAATGAGTTACCATGAACCCTGGCAATTTATTTGATCGTGATTCCGCACAGTCGCGTGTTGATGTCAATAGCGCGCACAAGGATGTAAGTGAATGGTGCCAATTCAAAAACAATGCAATGCCCCGTTGTATGCTGAGATGCCGCAAAAGGACAAGTATGAAGTTCCAAAAATGGTACAAACCGCCAGAGAACAGGCAGACTAAATCGCACAAGACGTTTAAGAAAGAAACACAGAGGTGGTCAACAGTGATTACGATCACATACTGAGCGCAAAAAAGTGATTGAATAGGGTGTAGGTGACATGCCAAAAGTGTAGCAACAAAAAATCACTGTCGATTAATTTTTCTCATTTACTTAGCTATGCTTGCCACGTGACCCCCAAGCCCACACGGAGTTCCTAGGGAGGAAATAAAACAAGCACTTATTTCCACTGTTTGACTTCTCTTCGCTCATACATCTAATCAGTTACGCTCACCTCGAGCCTCTCGCATCCACATAGCAGTGAGAGGAAACACAAACCCTGCACTTCTATCCACTGTTCTCGACTAAGTGTATAAAGGGTTCAAATACCACAATTGATCCTTCGAAGTGATAGCAACCGATCTAATTTCTGTTCAAGAGCCCTGTTTCTCAAAACACTTTCGTAGTTTATTCCCACCTCTAGTTTCTCACCGGACGCCACAATCACACACCTTGGCTAAGTGATAGTTCAAGATATCCGTGACAGGACATAAGCAATTGGAAATGGATAGCAAGAAGCGCCCACCGTGAACGCAGTTGGCAATAATCCGGACTGCTTAACAACCTCTATGGGAGAGTAACTTGAACCATCGATAGAATCCTCTCCTCGTGAACGCGTATAGTAATTTTCCTTAATTAAGTGCACATAAGTTAACTTCACACTGGATGACACGAGAAGAATGATGGAGTTATTAGCAACACATGCTCATTTATCAGAACGAACGATTATCCAAAGATTCAACCTTACGTGGGGATAGCTACGAGTATTAAGGAGGAAAAAATCATTTATTACCGAAAAGCTGTGTGGGATCGAAGTGGCACATTTCTTCGAATGTCGGACTTAAGGAGCGACAAATTAGACTGTCATGAAGTCACAGTGAAACTCATAGATTCACCCTATCATTTTCTACCCTTAGTAAATATACATCGAAATACTACCATTAGTGTTCATAATCGTACTTTGGTCGAATGGATCGAGATAATTTGAACCACCACGCTTCGGCTAACTGCAGCGCATTGAAAATGACATATTGCAAATACAGTAAAACCTACGTAAGTTGACCACACAAGGGACTGGAACAATGTGGCCAACACAGAGAGATGATCAACTTATAGACATTCTACGCCAAAAAGTAACGTAACCTTGTTCCCCGTTGTGAGTAGTATAGTATGGACTATATTTTCAAGCCAAGCAAGATGCCCATATATATCGTCTACCAGAGAGAATAACAGAAAGCGATGAGCTAAACGCAAACAATTGTCTACAATTATTTTTTCATCAGGCGATTACAGTAATAATTGTGGGTACACCGTTACGTTTCATTCGGTAGTAAAGAAAAAGAAACAAGTGATTGCTCATTTAAAGTGAGTAAAGTGCCAAATGGATGAGCATGTGATTGAAGACCTGTGAGTTTGCTGGCTATCTCTGCACCCTCCACATCCGGTGGTTGGCCATGCAGTTTCAACGACTGAACCATTTTCTTTCTGCACGCATAGATCGGGTTTTGTTAACGGTATGCATACCGCCTCAGCGTTAGCAAGCAGCCTCTCTCAATCCATGGCCGTTTGTTGTTCCGTTGGTTTGTTTATGCGATCACCGGTAATGAGAGGATGAGATGTTATTGAGCTGCAAAATGTCCCATCTTTGTGGTTACTGAGCCAACTCGGGAGATGTTCCTTGATCCTCTGACCTAAGTGCCTGGTCGTACGTCCAAGGTACCCAGACCCACGGTAACAGGTAAAGTATCATCGATTGGAGATGATTGGGCACTCGGTCTTTGGGTCTCGGAACAATTAGCGGTTTGCTCGTGTATAGTAAATTTAAGTGGGCTGCATTAAAAGGTATTTAGAAGGTTTGTACCAATATAGGCGTTCAAATGTCCGCGGTATTGTTCCATTTGAAGGGTAGCGTCAGAAACAGTTGCTTCTTTTCGACCGTATGCGCTCGTTACTTTTGGACTTCTCTGCTTCATGTGGGTGTCTACGAAGTGCTTCGGATATCCGTTTATAGAAGAGCGCTCCATTGATTTTTACATAAACCCGTTTCGAACACATTAGACGAGGTCTCACGTAACGGCGAACGCAGTCCAGCCATACAGGGTTATAACAAATCAAAACGCAGTATTGCGCAAGTTAAATCACTGTTTGAAGAAAAGGACAATCATTGTACGTTTCTCTTATCATTAAGGTACCTGAAAAAGCGCTCTCAGCACATGCCACATTACTTAGCATGCTTTGACATTTTTCCACAGCAAATGATTTCAGTTGCATTAAAAGATGCCTGACATCATCTTCTTTTGGAGTTTCTGTGAATTCCAAATCATCTTCACTCAGTCCGCCTACTTCTTCATCAGAACCATCAGGTGTATGTTCTGTGTTTCCGTAGGGAAGTACCACAGTCAGTATCTCTTGGATATAGCACTGGGTATGGTTCAGTGCAAGTTACTCAGTCATCATCCACCACAACAAATTCTTTAAAAATTTACTCCGTCGAATTCTGTTAATAGAGATGGAATGTCTAGTAAAGCGACGGCATCCCGCTCGAGAAGTTGAGCAAACTCAGCTATCATGAAACACTGATAATATTTCTGGTTGAAATTTGAACTAAGCGGAACTTATCCAAAGTACAGCATCCAAGACATTAACTAAAGCAACAGATGAAGTTCCTTCCGAATGAAAACGAGTAGCATGCAATTTGGTTATAGCGCATTGTATGAGGCGGGCGGGCATTTTGAATAGTTTGAGTATCCCTTGGTTAAGAGGTTGCATTTGTGAAGTCAGGTTTGCAGGCAGAAACTTAAGTGTAATATTTGTGGGATCCTTTACATGGGAGTGAGTAGGAAAGTTGTCCACCGTTAGGATAATGAACCGTTCCTTCTTTATCATTTCCTTGTCGATACTTCTGATCCACTCCTAAATTTGGCAGCAGTCATCCACGCGGATTGGTTTGATCTCCAGGGGACTGCAAGATATTCGGGACTTAGGATTTTGAACGCACGTGATCTACCTGATTTACCAATGACCAGGGGTTTTAGCTTCTCATCACTTAAGCTAGACCCCAACAAAACAGCGAAAGGTTCTCTGGAATGTTTTCCATACGTACATTTGTCACGCTTTGAAACAAGGCTTCTGTTAGGCATCGTCTTGAAAAAGAGACCGCACCCGTCAGCGTTAAAAATGTCCTCATAGTTGAAGCGCTTTCCAGAGTAGGAAAACTTTTCGATGAAGTCTTGTACAAACACTTCACCACACAAAACGATTTGGGAAATGCCAGGTCGGACTAAATTTCTCTAGTTAACCATTCGATGCCTCGAAATTTGCAACCGCAAATTATGGTGATAACCATTTAGGAATCCCTTGAACCTTCGACCCAGAAATTCGAGCGCTAGCTACCCCCATTTGCATGAGCCAGCGTTGGGTAGCCTTATTGAATTCATCGTGTGAAGTTTTTCACCTCCTTGCTGTTGATATCCTCTTTCATTATCGTATTTCCCCAAGTACTCTGGTCTAGGTATTTCGATGTTGTTAACTCATGTCGTACTAACACCGAAATCAGACCATTCCTTGGCTATCACATTACAGAAAAGGTAGCAGAATAAATTGTTACCTTCAAAGCCAACTCAATGACCTCTTTTCTTTGGGCTATCATGTTGAATTACTCGTAATGAAAGAGCTTAAATTGTTCGATGAACGCAGTGCATCTATGAACATTAATTAATATTAATTACATAAAATAAGCAACCGAAATTGGTTTCACTCCCAGGCAGACTACAAACACCATACGCCTCAGAAGCCATGTCCGTTTCTAAACCGTTTCCCGGCGAATTTGTCCTCTTGGGCAACAGAATTAATCTGAACTGCAAATTAGTTGCGATGAGGGGCATACAAGATGAGTCTTTACTCAATTACTTTGAGTCGTGCTTGCGCCACTTATTTGTGCAGGTGTGTAGGTGTGCGTGCATAGCCCGGCGCCTTCAGCCAATTGGACCTCAGACGCACTAAGTCAAAGGGGTGCAGGTGGGACGCTTCAGCTCCTACCAGGGACAGTGTCGGTGATCCATGCACCTAGTGGGCCTTAGTTTCTCTGTCCTAGGAAGCGATTCCCACCAATCAGAACGATAGTAGGGATTTCAATGACGATTGGGTTGGTATAAGGAGCCATAGCCAAATAAGTTTGCCGTACGCTTTTGAATGTGCAGTTCAACTAAACACAAATGGTTGGCTTGGATGTTCGGCACTCGAGGGAGGTGAAGAACATCATACTGAAAGCGTACCAGGCAGTTCATGGCACTTCCTCCCAACAAACAATGTTTCCGCAAGTCTGATCCGAATAGCTCATCCTTGATTTTGACTAGATTCGTCGCCGCACCTGATGGACTGACGAAATCCAGGGTACCACCAGGATCCCACTTGTTTGTTGCAACTGCGCTATCATTCAACAATTCGTAGACCCCATCTCTAAAAGTTGGATTAGGCAGATCTGAAGAAGCCAACTGCGATTGGGTCTGGATAGCGTTCCGTTCTAACCCGTAGCAAAGTGAACAACTACCCAAAAGTGATGAATAGCGACACCGAGTGTACCTAGATATAGCATCGGAAGTTACTGAGGCAGAGGTAAATACGGAGGCGAGTAAAGGTTCTGTTATCTCAATGAAACTCCCCCATGGAATTGATGGAGACAGACTGATGGGCGATGTAGATTTAGCAATGAAAAGCGGTGAGAGTCAGGTGGAAAGACTGGCTTCAAACTCTACAGCAACGCGGTGCATCGCCACCAAACGAAGAGTCGCAATTCTTCCGACGGGCCACTGTTGGTCGGCTCGTCCGCGGGAATTATCGTCAGAGTCCTTCAAAATAGTCCGCACATCCGAACCGGTTGCACCAAAAGTTTCTTGTTCAGCACCCAAGGGCACTTCTGATTCAGTAATTACGTCTCAAATTACATAGACTGTATAATCATACACATAACGGGCGCCAAGATTCGCGTACCTAGCAAAGGTCTTAAAGGTTGGGTGCATGTTAGAGTTCAAATAAAATCGAAGAGGGAGACGAACCTCACTAGCTGATTGATGTGCGTTGAGGTAGACGGGAACATTTGACGACGACTTAACTGTTTCGGTTCATAAGTCACTAATTCAATAAGGCGGATATCGGTTATGCAAATGTCGAAGGGAAGCTGTAGCTGTAAGTCTCTGAAGCCTGTATCGAATACGATATGAACGGTGTGCTGTTTCTTCCATTCGTCCACAACAGAGATAGAGAAACTCGGTAATGGTGACGATGGTTGTGACTCGCGTTGCTAAACTCAGTGGTGTGAAGGCGTATACGGAAAGTGAAATAAAAGTCTTCAATACGAGCAGAAATGAGAGTTGACCAAACCTAACCAAAGCCTCAAAATCATAAAGCGTTCCTCAATCCGCCTCTGGCCGAGGATGTGCGCATGAAAGGTGAAAAGTAAAAGCGCAGGGGAGTTAGCGAGTCAGTGTTTTCATCTACAGCATAAGTTGGCTGTTGCAAAATTGAGCACAGAATATGTTCACAGTTTTTCCGTTCGCCGGAGACAAGATTTGCGTCCACGGTATTGGTACAGAAAACATAGTGGAACTGAACGAGATTGTAACGTGGTCCGTGTTAAGTAAGGGAAAACAGGCAGCGTACAACAAAGAAAACTGTTGCTAGGGTTGAGATAAATGGAAATATTATAATTTAGTGACGTAATCAGAATCGCACTCACTCTGGTGGATGTAATTTATGTGGACTCGGAGGTCGCTCTTTAAGGCAAAAGACTTCTCGCAGTACTCGCATGTGTGAGGCCGCTGTTCTGGAACCGAAAACAGGACACAGAGTTAAGCGCAACTAGAAGGAAAAAGACTGTCGCAACAAAATGTTTGTGCATTGCAGCACGTACAACCATGGTGAAAGCATGAAAATGATTAGTGATTGGCGTAAGGCTAATGCTCTCACTCTATCTGAACATCTTATCTTCGCCCACCAACAATAAAAGACATCTCCATTTGAATGCATCAATCAAACTGCAAAACTATACCATAAAAATCCATCGCAATGAGGTTGAACCTTACCGTGGTGCGATGATTTGCGTACCTCAGAGATCAACTGAGCTGCGCATCTTCGGAGTCACTCATGCCAGATTGATCAACTCAGCCTCCTGGATTTCCAAGTTGGGAGTTGGAGTAAGAGTGGCTACGTATTTCTTAAAACGGCCTCCCGGTAGCCCACTACAAAACCAAAGGCATTGGTTGAGAACCCTAATTGTTCTCCTGCCAAGGTCTGTGCAACCTGACAGTATCCTCTCCACGCAATACTGAATCTTTCCTCAAACGAGTTGTTGATGTTCTGGCAGTCGCAGAGGATAATCAACAGCGCTGCATCAAGCAGGGTAAGTAGCGGTTTGGTTGCTACTACTCAAGCCTTCCTGTCGTATTTCCCTCTATTAAGCTTTTTCGCACTTATCGTGCTGTTTCAACTTCACTTGTACCCATCTCATTTTAAACCTCTCAATACTTAGCCCTTCTCTACCTTACTTTGATAGGCGGTTAGCTTCCAGTTTTAACTCACAGGCAAACGCAGAGTCACTCTTAACCTATTTTAAAGCCCATGTATAACTAAGCGGCTTCTACATAGAGCCTTCGATCTTCCCTCAGGTTGGCAAGCATCAACATCCGCACATTGCTAGATGGGTCGACAGGTAGCACCCAACCGAACATTGGAGACCCTCTAGATCGACATCTGCTGCTTATCGGACACCGAGCTAAAAGACTCGAACTCCGTTCTCACTGTGCGATCCCCTTCAGGTGACACCAGCAGCACTTTCTCATTGCATCTATCCGGCGGCGATGTATTTCCCTGAATCCGCAGGCTGAAGTTGCTCTGGTTGATTGGATCCCAATCACTAGCCAGATGTGCGCGGCCCGACTGGCTGGCTTGTCCAAAGCTTTGAAGTCGCGCGTGACTAACTTCCTGTTCAGCATCGACGCCTACGAGCCCACAAACTGTAGCAATGACTCGGTAAAAGAGGACTTCTATCGCCAACTGGAAGAGCTCTTTCGTCACAGAAGCACAGACACTGTAGTGTTGGATGAGGATCGGGACGCTCAACGGAAAACTGTCCACTGATGAGCTGCGTTTGGGCGGCCAACATGATGTAAGATACTGTAATGATAACGATAAGCGGTTACTTCATTTGTGTGACGATGTTCGCTTATTTATTGCAAGCAATAACTCCCGACACAGCACCCGCCGGAAAGAGACATGGCGCCCACCAGCCATACACGAGACATAGAAGCAAATCGATCACATTGCGATCAGTTACCGCAAGAAAAACCGCGTCCACCGATTTGGAGCACGTGTGTGGACACCGATCATGCACTTGTATGTGCTGATTTACGTGTGTGATGGGGTGGACGTCCACGACAAACCGGTGAGCGCATATACACCAGCCAAATGGCGAATCCAGCTGTTCTGAATGCATATCGAAGTACGCTGGCATTCGGGTAGAGCAAGAGCTCACGGAATACAGTTGGTCACTGATCGCATGTTTACCGGACGTTATTAGCAGCAAGCAAATCCTCATGCGGTAAGCCTAATAGCCAACATGGACAATGAGTCTATTCAAAGTCTCTGGAACTTATCGATGCTCGGCAGTACATTCCGGCTGAAGGCAAACCCGAAACTAACAAAGATCTCAAGGCAAAACTCTTTGCTAGTCTGAAGAAAGACCCTGAAGCATGGTGATCTCAAAAATGGAAATGGCCACTACCCTTGGAAACCATCGGGAGATCTTCCGTCTGATATGGGAAACAGGCAGCAAGAGACCTGGTGTAAGTGAAACCATACGTGGATAGTGGACGGCCCATCCAAAACGCTTGGGTCGTTCGACTGAGCACTGCGAAAATCAAATTAATCGGACGGAATTGACAGATTTCTCGTCGAGGACTGATCACACCGCTCACTGAGCTGTCTCTTTGGATCTGCCCTCTCACTCAGAAGTCGAACCTGAGATCGGACTGCTGAAGCTGTATACGGCCGCGGGACCAGAGGGTCATCATCCGGCCGCCTTCAAATTGGGGGTTTTGCTCTTGTTGACGAGTTACACAAATTACTAGTGAAGCTGTAGAAGGAAACTGTCCCGACCGAGTGGAGCCGTTCCGTTATTCATCTAGTCTTCAAAGGAGATTCGCATTCGGAATGCGGTAATCATAGAGAAATCAGTCTGATTTCCATCCGCTGCAAATTGCGTGTCTTCGCCATCATTCACAGACTGATTGGCAATCCTGAAAGTCAGATTCGTGAAGAGCAAGCCGGGATTCGATGAGGTCTGGGCTGCGTCGATCACATCTTCATTGCGTCAACTGCTGAAGCACCGCCACATATATTAGCGGCCCAACGTTGCTCTGCTTCAAGGCAATAAATGTGTCCTTTGGGATTGCCTACTTAGGAAAGGTATGCCTGAAAAATTCTTTACATAACACCCGAGCGCTATACGCGCGCAGCTCGGGCAGAGCGATTGCTTACGGCAAGCTGTTGCCGACATTCAATATCACCAGCGGCGTGAGACAATGATGCCCGCCATTGACGAAGTCATGGAAGATCGCGTTATCAGGACACAACTTAGGTGAGGAACTGCTCTCAGGCGAATGGTTTCTTGACTTGGAGTATGCTGACGATATCGCTCTCATCTGTGACAGCTCACAAACGTGTCAAGATGCACTGGACAGATTAGCAATGGTTGTCAGCCATCTCGTGTTTTGCTTTGCACCATCGGAGTGCAAAGCTTTCCTCCAAGATTGGCAGGGACCGCCTCCTACGCTGACCCTTGGTGGAGTACGGTTAAAAATCGCCAAAAAATGCAAATATCTGGGAATTTATATCAGCGCCTATGGAATCGAAGACGAGGTCACAAACCTTATTTCAAAAGCTCGAGGCGAATTTTCCAACTTTCGCCACCTAAGGCGCCAGCGCGACGTCACTATCTCCCTGAAAGGTAGAGTATACAATGCAGCCATACGGTCGACCGTACTGTACGGTTGCGAAACCTGGCACAGTAGATCGGCAGACATAAAGAAGCTAGTTACGTTCGACCACCGGTGCCTTCGCAATTTGGCTCATATCTGGTGGGAACATCGGGTGAACAGCGAGCATGTTCGACGCGTTGTTAATGGCACAGGAAGCGAAAATGAACCGCTCAACACCGTTATTTCACACACCAAGCTCCGATGGCTGAGCCACGTGTATTGTATGCCATCCCACCGACTTCCGCGATGTGGGGTGTTTGCGCATCGCGTGTGTGGATGGAAGAGGAACAGTGGCCAAGCGTTGACTTTGTCAAGAGAAATGAGGACCGTTACTACGAAGTTAACTTCGGCTGGAGCTTGCAAGCTTTATGGTTGAGGCCTGAAGGGCGATGAACAAGTTTGGCTGGATACACTTGTTGACATGGCGTTTGCGTTGATTCTTCGTCCCTCTCCAATTCGCTTAACGTCCCACTGCAACTGCGATCTCATTTTCTAGCATAATATTAACTTTGTGACACAACGGCGGGCTGTTAGCTGTCCGGAACAATGTCCATCCATTACTGGTAGCTCAGCTGGCGCGTCCGTGTTGCTTCTCCTTAACATTTTTCTCTTCTTATTGTATTGAGATCCAACTCAAGCTAACGAGTATTATGAAAACGAGGAAATGTTGAAATTGATGATTTAATCGGCGAAAGTAAGGCTAAGGTTTCCATTGTATCTGACTCACCCGCCAGTTCAGTCCAGTTGAACAGCTAGAATTCGAGCACCGAAGTGCGGTGGATCCAGTTGCCATGACGCATATCGCAAGAATAATAAATAACGTCATCAAGATAGCTGGGTTGAAAGAATATAGAAGGTAAGGAAAATGGAAGCAAGAAGATGCGTTAGACTAAAGAGAAGAGAGTTAACAACCAGATGCAAGAAACGGAATGCAAGAATGCCACTGACTGCGCGACTGCGTCATGTCTGAAACGGTTTCCAACCATCAGTGTGGACCATCCCTAAGCCCATAGACACGAAAACGGCATTCACCAGCCTGACCAAGTCTATCAGTCAGTCCCTTCATGCATCTATATCAAGTCATGAACTGGACCCCATGTGGTTTCACCCAGTTTGGTGCAGTCCCGGCATAAAAGGCACGCCAGGGAAGCCGGTCAACAAGCATACGGATGACATGGCCTAGTCAACGTAAACGAATATGATTCACTGAACATTCGAGTGAGGCACCAGAAGGCTTCTTACCGAAAACCAACTGACGGACCACAGCGTTGCTCATCCGGTGCTGCGGCCAGACGTGAGTAGTACTCCGCAAGCACCGGTAGTAAAACACGGCGAATTGCCAAGGTCTCTGGTCCATACAGAAAAACCGGTCTTACCGCATTGTGACACACCCTATCTTTCATTGATAAGCTGATATCCCGCCGTCTCCATAGATGGCCTGGGTCTCTGGAAAGCCACAAGGGTCTTGCTGATACGCGAAGTAACTTCCTCAGTAATGCGAACATCAGAGGTGACACAGCCACTAAGATAAGTAAACCGATCCATCACCTCCAGTGGATGTACGGTGGTAGTTGAACCCGGATATGTCTCGATTCAGTACTGAAGAAACACTGCACTTTGAAGGTGTAAAGCACAAAGCGAAGCGTGCGGCGCCAGGCGTCAGTAGCGTCTGCACATTCACTGCATCAGACCCAAGAAGAGATTTGTCGTCCGAATACTCCGGGTTTGTCAGTCGGTCATTTGAAAGGACAATCATTCTTGTACACTGCTTACCCCAGCTTCTGATGATGATCTGAATTCACAGTGGATGCGCATCAAAAATGCTTTAGTTTCGATCAGCAGTGATAGTTGCGGAGTCACCCATCACCAGCCGAAAAGTTGGATCACTGATGTCTACTAGTCGTTGATGGACAGACACTGCTCGGTCGCTGCCGATTCCAGCTGTAGTGAAGAACGATGGTACCTAGATAGAGAATTGCGCAAGAGTCAACAAAAAGACCATAAAAACTGGTGGTGTGAGGGTGCTAGAGAGATGGAACTTGTTAGTCTTTCTGGTCATACCAGAAAACTTTTCCATCTTATACGAGCCACTGAGAGTTTCCGATCTGGAATAAGCAAAGCGATCTGCGACAGTTGGAACGATGGGCTTAACACTTTGGCCTGCTGTTTTGATGGTCACTAGTTACATCTGCTTCCCCTGGAGCGCTCACTGGTGCCGAGTGGTCTGTCCGCACAGACCATTCTTCTCACCAAAAGTTCTGGCAGGAACTCCGCTTCTTGCAGCTCTATAAAGCACCTGGCCCTGATGCCTTACCTCTCAACCTATTTAAAGATAGTGGCTATCGCTGGTTCGAGAACATACTGCTTTGTACTCAGAAGTTTGGTTGAATGGAGGTTCCATCACCTTGGGGTGAGTCGACAGTCGTCCCCATCCTCAAAAAGGGCCTGCATACAAGGTGCTCCAACTACAGGGGTATCAGATTGGTTCCCGTCATTTGTAAGGTGTAGGTGTCCACCATATTTCGAAGGCTATCCCCAATGCGCGAATCGCTACAGCGGGACTACGCTGATGATATCGTCTTGCTGGGTGACGGTCCACAGGGCATCCAACTTGCACTCAACCGCTTGGCGATTGAAGCGTGGGATGTTTTTCCCCATCCCAGTGGAAAGTATTTTTCCAAGACTTTCAGATGCCTGTACCTGCACTCACTCTTGGTGGTAAGACACTGGAGGTTACGGAGAGTTTTGCCTACCTGGGTAGTTGCATCACAGCCAATGGAGCTATTGGAGACCAGATTTCGTTGCGTATCTCAAGAGCTCGAATCGCTTTCTCTAAACTGAGGCACTTGTGGCACCGCCATGACATCCGCTATCCATCAAAGGGCGGGTTTATTGTACGACTGTCCGCACTGTATTGTAATACGGTTACGAGACTTGGCCTATTCGTACCGTTGACCGGCACCGTCTCCCTGTCTTTGAGCACCGTTGCTTGCGGTCCATCGCCCGTGTGTGGTGGCTACACCACGTAACGAATGTGGAAATAAGACAGTGTGTCTGAGGCGCAGACAGCCACTTACTTGATGAATTCGTCCTGCAACATCAGCTACGGTGGCTTGGACACATACTGCGGGTGTTGTTCGCGGTTGCTGTACATGACTGCAGGAGACGGCGCGGTGGATAACCTACAACATGGAGAAGCGGCATAAAATAACTGACGACCCAGTTGGCCTCGGTTGGTTGTTCTAGACACGCAGGAAAGGATTTAAGAGATACTGAGTATCGTTGGTTGGAGACCCCAGAAGTCGTAGCGCAAGAACGACGTCAATGGCGGACGAGTATTTCGGCGTGTTGCAAAAATTTCCCTTCCCTAATAAAATAAACAATAAAAAGAACTCGAAAATTGGGAGTGAAAAACTAAGACAAAATGTTGCAGGATCTTTTTCTTCCAATTCGTATCCTGTTTTCTTCTTCCGCCATGATTCTGCTGGCACATCTGTGCCACAGAGGGATATATATATATATATATATATATATATATATATATATATATATATATATGGACAGTTTCGAAGTACTTTCGCATATTGCACTTCACGGCATACAGTTTACCGCAATGTGCACATGTATGGGGTCGTTGATGTGGAGAAGGAAACCGAAAGCGATCCGTTACAGATGAAACATAGATAATTGACAAAGAGTAACGAATGATTTGTTTGAATGGGTACAACCAAGTAGGGACTCAGTGCTGGCCACTAAATTCGAGGATTTCACATGCAAAACAACGGTTTACAGTGTACGAGAATCTTGTAACAGGGAAGTGACACACGAGTGCGACAGGTTCATCGGTAACAACGAATGCTTCCTAAGATAATTTGAGAGGTGAGCTATACAATACTCATCACTGCCGCTCAGATATGCAATGAAACGACACCACTATTAAGAGGACAACAGAACAACACAGCAGGAAGACTATAGCTGGTGCGGTGAATTACAGCCTGCGCGCTTCGCGTACAATTGGCCAGTAGGTACTCCACCAACGATCGTCAACTGTGTTCACTGAGCGTTTACTTAGCCCGGATGGCAGCGTGCTTTGATACATATTAAGAACACCTAACTGCGCAAGTTGGCTAGTTTCTATGCGCTCACAGCGTCTTTGGGGAGGTCCACCGAAATCCACCCACAGATCGGCACACACAAGAACGTGATTTGAGTTCAGACTCGTGCCTCAAAGCGGAACACAAATTTGGACACAATCTTTCCAGCGGTACTTGAATTTGATGTGACCGTAAGCTGTGTTCCAAATGGTTGCATATGATAAGCAATATGCAGTTGGATGTATAAACAGGCCCATTAAATTAGTGAATGCTTGGAAATGATAAACGCAAAAAATTTATGAGACCAAAGTCAAATCCGGCATCCAATTGGACACTCACTCAAATGAACTGAACGTATATGTCTTCGTAGAATGTCTGCTCGCGTAAACGATTTGCCACAGCAGCTGCATGTGTGTGTTCGCTGATCTGCGAGGGGAATTAAGCAATGATGGTGGTTAGAGCGCAGAGCCTCCACACTCACCGGCGTAGGTTCGCTAAACGATCTATCGACCAAAGATATGAACGACAAAAATATCATGCTTAAAAGCGTAACGGCTGGGTAGAACAGGAAGAACAGAAAACATAAGAAAATATTGATGTGACAGCCAGCAGTGGGATGATAAATGGCAGAGATGCACACATCACTTAAGTGGGTATGATAAACTCCCGATCCCGGTAGACTGGTGTTGCGGGGAATGAAGATGACCGTTACAATGTCTACTAACCTCATGCTCTCCTCAGGCGCTTTTCCAGTAGCCAGCGCACGACCATCTGACCATCAACACTAATGAGTCAACCTTCAGAAATCCACCGTGCTTCCCGGTGTATGGATGCACCACAATCCTAAATAACTCGTTATTCAGGATTTAGACCGGAGCAGTCATTCCTTCCAGTTCTAACATAATGTATGTTGTACCCGTGCACTAATTACTTAGAGATTCATCGCACCTGTGCTGTGCCCGAAATGCTCGCCGATCTGCTATTACGCAGGCTCAGTCGGATGTACGAACAGCGGGTCCGCAGGGAACAAGCAATGATTAGCAATGAACGGGGTTGTATCTGCGCGACCGAAATCTCGGTCCGCCTACAACCGGTGTCTTCCTGGAAATCCAAGCAGCGGCTGACTAAGTTCAGCAGCCCAGTAACTGAAGTTCAAAACGGAGGAAAGTGACCAGGAAGTGAGTTAACACTTGCCAAGTCATCTCTGCACAATTCTCGAGCCGTGTGCAAGGGCATCTCAACCTTCCGTCCGCCTTCAGCTTCGAGATGGAACAAATTCTGAAAGAATCTGCGGGCTGAGTAGTAACGCGATGCTTCTAAGAGACCGACTACGTGACTTGGTGTACGCTGACAGCATCTTCGCGTTATTCCTACTAATGGACACGACAGGCAGTCGAAGCTCGTGCACAGCTCGCGTAATGCCAAGGATTTACTCGTCGCCACATACAGAGCGCACGATGAGCCGGATCCAAGGACCCGATGGTTTTTCACGTCTGTGCTCGTGTCGCTCCCAGATATCGGCAACGACTTTCTCAACACTTTCTTTGCTGATACGTGTGGGCACCAAACTTAAGTAACCATCTCAAGTAACGAGTTCGGGGTGTTCCTTAAGTGCTAGTGTTCCAAGTACAGCCACTGCACCAACAGACTATGCCATCCAGGTCAGCGAAAGTTAGCAATTACGAACACTAGATGCCATAAGTCTATTCGCCACAGAGGTTACTCACCACAAAGTCACGCGTGGCAACGCCGTCTAAAATATGCATCAGTAATAAGCCGGTGCATTGCAGTGCAACCACCACCAGTGGCGCGTGACCATGGTGTACCGTGAGGTCTCCCGCACTCACGCAAATTCAAATCTGTAACGTTGTGGGTCACAAAGTTAACAACTTATTCTTCGACAACTGGCCGAGATGCCTTGCTGAAGAAAGTTTGCATACCGAAAGAGCGGAATTCGAATACACACTCCAGCGAAAGTATCGCTGGGCGACGCAACAGTCCGTGGGCGCCGCCTCTTCACATAGTCACAAACGCCGTGGACAGTTTGCGCACTTCTTCCCTGAAAACTGTCACAAGGCCTGACGCCTGTCCGTTTCACCATTTCGTAGACTCCGCAGTAGGTTTGGCAAGCGAGATGCGTTCAGCAAGAACGACCTGGTTCGCTTTGAGACAGCCATCGTTAAAACTGTCTTAACGACTTTGTGAATGCCGTTTGATGTTAAGAATGTCGCAGACTCAAGAAATGTGTTGACGAAGTTAATCATGGTCTATACCATTTACTAAAACAGATGTAATTCCGATAGTTCTTCACAATAACACGTACACTACATCCGGACACTTCTTAATGCTGATTCGGTGAGCTGATGTGGTCTCGGTGTCGTCAATCCACTGCAGAATATAAACAAGGCGATTATGAACTATCCTGAATTTCACTAGTTCATGCAGCTTTAACGTTTTGACTACCTCACTGACTCCCACAATCAGTACATACCTAACTACGCATTGTCTATGCAAACCCTTAGGGAACTCAACCGAGGAGAGCTCAAGAAAAGATCATAGCGGGCTCCGCACAGCAGCTCTACACGTTTGTTCCGTATAAACCTCGACTCGCAAACTATACTCGACTTCAAATACCTGAGAAAGTCATTTTAAAGGGGACAATTTGGCGACCCGAAAAGTAATCCCCATCTTTACGTACATCTTCACTGAAGTAGGGTAACGATTAATTTATCCCCAAATTGCGTGCACCGACCAACTAGGCACCGCGGTTCAAATAAGCCATCGCTTCTGGATTTAATCGTAACCAACGAAGAGTTGATGATTGAGACAATTTCATACGATCCACCATTAGGTAACAGTGACCACTCAGTGTTAAATTTTGCCTATGTGTGTTACGCCAATACTACTGAAATCAGACATGAAAACCGACGGACTATAACCAACTATTCCGTGCTTCGCAGCCTAGCGACAACCGTCAACTGGGACCTCAATCTGTAGAGCACGGCAGACGACGCGTGGAACGAACTAAAAGACAAAATTAGCCGTGTCACGCAAGCAGCCTCTAAAGTCATACCATTACGAGTGCCGCGCCGGACCAACACCTGGATCCGAAGCAGAACGCGTAAATGAATTAGCACCAGAGACGGGATCTGGAGACAATACGCGCTGAACAACTGCGACGCCGCCTGGGAGAATTACAAAATAGTGAGGAACTTTTGCACATCCCTGATTAGAGCCGATAAGTACGAATGACAAAAACACATGGTACTTAAATTCACGAACAATACAAAACTGCTGTACATGTACGTGAACAGCAGAAGGAAAGTTAAAACAGGAATACCACCACTTAAGACGGATGGTGGCCTAACGACTACTGCTGTGGATGCTGCGAACGCATTACTTCTGCAGTTTGGCACAGTGACTGCAAACGCCATAGAACCTTTGCCAAACCAGCATTCACCCAACGTGGTCGGCATATCAACTGTCACTTTTACCTCAGCAGCTGTCGCTAGCAAATTACGGTCTCTAAGAGAAAATAGCGCTCCGGGAGTCGACAAGATCAGACCCAAAGTTCTTAAAACTCTTGCTCCCACCATAGCAGCACACCTCGCAAGCTTTTTCCAAAGTCTACTCAATTCCCAAACACTTCCGTCTGAGTGGAAAAGCGGGATAGTCACTCCGATATACAAAGGAGGTAAGTGATCGGATCCTGCCAACTACCGAGCCATTACTCTCCTCCCTGTTTTATCAAAAGTAATGGAATCGTTAGTTGCAGATGAAATTACACGATATTTTGAGAGTCTGAAGCTAATTTCTCACATCCAACACAGCTTTAGGCGCAAACGATCTTGCCTCACAAATCTGCTTCTTGCTCGGGATTCATGGACCAAAGCGCTTGATGAAGAATGCCCCCTTGATGTGATTTACCTAGACATTTCGAAGGCATTCGACAGAGTCAATCACTTAGCTCTGCTTCATAAGCTTCGTGCCTACGTTATCCATGGTTCGCTACTCACCTGGCTAGCAGCATATTTGCATGACAGAACGATCAAGATCAGAGTCGCCGATGCCCTCTCGGAAACCCTCTGCATCTCCAGCGGTGTTCCTCAAGGATCCGTCCTTGGTCCCCTCCTTTTTCTGGTCTACATTAACGACCTCCCGGATAATATTCAATCCTCGATGCAAATTTTTGCGGATGACGCAAAAATCTGGAGAGTTATTCGCTCAACATCAGACAGTGCCCTCCTCCAGAATGATTTGGATGGAATCAACAAATGGGCAGATATAAAGCACCTCCCCCTGAATCCTGCCAAGTGTCACCTACTGTCATTGCGCAGCAATCTTACCAACACGTACCTCTTGTGGCAGTACGTTTTACGGCGCGTGACCACAGAAAAAGACTTAGGTATCATTGTGCAAGAAAGTCTGGGGAATTCGCTCTAATGTTTGAAAGCAGCAAACGTGGCGAACATGAATCTGAGACTTTTGAGGCGAGCTTTTGGTGTTTTTGAACGACGGTTGGTACCCATGCTTGTCAACTCCTATATCAGTCCCCACGTCGAATATGCCGTCCAGGCTTGGTGCCCATGATTAAAACGGGACATTCATCTCTTAGATCAGCCCCAACGAAGAGCTACGAAGGCAACACGCGGATTATCTGGTCTCAATTATGAAGTGCGTCTCAGTTTAATCGGAATGTTTTCCTCCGAATACCGACGACTACGCGGAGATCTCATTCTCGCATACCGGATATTAACGGAAAGCGATCATCCGTGCAAATCGCTGCTCACCATAGCCTCATATAAGCGATCGAGAGGTCATAACCTCAAGCTGATAATCCAACACTCCCGGTTAGACTGCAGAAAATATTTTTACTCTCTTAGAATCTGGTCACAATGGAATGACTTGCCAACGCATGTGGTAAACGCTCCGAACATTACAGCCTTCAAACAATTGTTAGACATTCATCTGAGTGACAAACAACACATTGTGGTGTGACGTACTAGGCTTAGACTATTGGCATTCCAGTTCCATGTCGGAATCTAAGGATTTTTATTTATTTTGCATTTACCATCCTATGGGTCTTGTAAAGCCAATGCTTTTTATCCCATCACACACTACTGAACTATTGAACTATTCTCTCCGTTCGAGACTTATATGCACAGTGGGGCGGCGCAGTGACATCTGCTTCTGAGTACTGAGAATAGGGAACGAGAAGATAAAAAACTGTGTTGCTCCATCTAGGTAGAACGGTCACAGGGGCGGAACCACGTCGCTCATTCTTGCGCGGTGGCAGCGTATTGCAGCTGCACTACATCTTATGCGGGTGTGATACGTTCCCCATACCTGTAGTAAGCACTAAAATTCCGACAACGATTTCGCTTCGACTAGCGTCTCCAGCAATTTGTTCCAATATTGCACAACTCAATGCTCGAAGCATAGATGGTGAGCGATGTGCTCTAAATCCGGTACCAGTCGTTTATATCGGTGTCCACGTGTGCTACTTGGTGCGCGAACGTGCAGCAGCGGCTTTAACATAGGGGAGTGGTCCAGGTGCAGTATCCGGTGCATCATAACGAGAACAACTTGAAGCCGAGGATATGACAAAGTATAAAGTCCTAATCTCCTACATCGGTCCTTGTACGACATACCCTGTAAACTGGGGATGAGCCGGGTAGCTACATGCTGGACCCGTTCCAGTCTCTGCACCTCGCCTATTGTGGTCGGACA